TTGTTTCAGTGCATTGTTAACATTTGGCGATTTCGTTTCACTCAGTTTTCTGACGCTCATTCCAAAAGCTAATAGTGTGCCAATGCTTTACAACATAAATGCACCAATTTGACGTGATTTTATAGAAGATTTAATACTCTTTCTAATGGTGTTTGCAATTTGTCAATAAAGTGAATACTTTCGGACTTATAGACATTTTAAGTTAGGGGTTCCAAATTTTTTGGATCACCCTGTATATACCGATGACGCTGCCGTTATGTGGTGCCAAGCCAGCTAGAATAGCCAGAACGCAAACATAGCTCACCTGGAAATAGAACAAAACGCTCCCCTAAATTCAAGTGATAGTGCTAGAAGAAAAAAAAAACGCGCGCACGCCTGATCTCCCTTATGTGTTTTTGTGTTTTTGTGTGTCTGTGTCAATTGCCACGTGTGTATACTGATTCGCTCATCAGCCCTGTCCTTATTACATCAGGTCATGAACTGGAGAGCTTATATAGCCCTCCGGTCAGTATTGATACGGGCCGGGCAATATAAATACGGGCCGAGTTTCCAAACGGGCCGTAACATATGTTATGTACACATACATATGCACATACATACACATACATACATATGTATGTACACCGAAAGTAGCCCACAGGGTGCCCAAAAGATATTGCATAAATTATAGAAAAAAAATAACACAAATATAAACGCAGAGAGATATGATTACACAGTTACGTGCCAAAAACGTTGAAGGCAGCACAAGAGTTTCCAGGGATAGGTACTTACTGAAGATTTAGGATTATTTTTAAATTACATAATGCATATAACACATGCATTATGGGAGGTAACATAAAGGAAGATAAAATCGACAGACGACAGATAGCACGATCGTAGACAGATCCAATAGTTGTTCGCTTGTTTCGAAAAGGGAATCGTTATAAGTCGTCTTCGCATACCTATGTCTTTTGCTGTTTTCTCCTTCATTCTACACTCCTCTTCTTTTTGCTTTGGAGGCGAATTGCGTAACCTTTTGGAAAACATTATTTTTTTGAATTTTTCGCAACTTAATTTTTCTCTTCTTCGAGGAATTATTCGTTGCAAATCCGGATTGCGAATGAGTAGGTTGAAAGTGACTAGGTACTGACACCTTAGAAGCGATACCTAATCCTAAAAAAAACAGGCATATACTGAACATGATTTATACAGACTTGTCTCGCTGTTAGATCCTTTTCCATAAACACCAGGAATTCAACTCGGCCTGTGTGACTAATCCGAATAAATTACCGCCATGGGCACGGCTGGCTGGGTCGGCTGGTCGGCTTAGGCGCCAATCCCCAGCGCCTGTCCGCGGAAACCGGACTTTTTGGTGGTCCTCTGCGGAGGCCACTGCCCGCTTCCCTCCCCTGCGTCCAGGTGGCGTTCGTCGGTCACAGACTGCGGGGCCGGGCCGCTCCTGGCACGGCCTGACCGCTCATCCCCCCTCCCCCCCCCCCCACCGCATACTATAGCTGGATCATGGCCGCTATCCTATCAGAAAAGTATATGAACGAGTGAGTGACCGGCACATATACTGTGACATATTCATTGAGGGAACAGTTGATTGTTACTTCTGAGCCCGAGTCCATATACGCATTGGGCAAATGCCTAGAGATCAGGTAGCTTTGATCCAATTGCTTATACATGACTGCTCATACCTATTTGTGGATTTATTTCAAACTGTGCGTATTGGTTAACTGACCTTTCCGACTACCCAGCGCCCTTGTTCTGCTATCACACTATCCCCGCCATTTGGAGATACGTTTTCGTCCAGTAATATTTTTATTAGTGCTATTTATGTAGCACTAATTTTACTCGGTTACCATCTCCATGGTAGAAATTCAAACGTCATAGGTTAGTTCGAAAGCAAAGGAAGATAGACAGACGCGTCACAAAGTTTATCAGTTGAGGTCCTTTTGGCGTATACATACATGGTAGAATAGAATGTACATTTTATGTTAGTGTTTCGACTCAGTCATACCCGAATGTCCAAATATAACCCTAGTAAGTCTTGGAAAATTACTCGCTGAAATGGAAACATCTGCAGCAAGTCTGACCGAAATGTTTTTCAAATCAACGATGATATTATTCCTCGCGCTTCTGGCGAATTTGGAGGGCGACCACCCACACAATTATCGAGGCCGGCAATTCTTCTTTTGTTACAACTGGCCTCAGAACAATCATATTGTGTGCAAGTCTATACAAAGAGGGGATTGGAGAAGTGAATAATAATACTCTAGCTGCATCCCCCATCTCTCTCTCTCTCTCTCTCTCTCTCTCTCTCTCTCTCTCTCTCTCTCTCTCTCTCTCTCTCTCTCTCTCTCTCTCTCTCTCTCTCTCTCTCTCTCTCTCTCTCTCTCCTCTCTTTCCCCTCTCTCTCCCCTGTCGCTGAGCTCGAGTCAGCCATTATCCATTTGCTATGCCCACCAGAGCTCCATGCCTCAGATCCGGGGTCTCGTCGGGCAAGCGTGACTGCTTATCGGAGACGCTACCACTCGATGGCATTAAACTGTTAATGGACCGTAAATTAGCCGTTACATAGTTAGCCAACAGATAGCGAGGTAATGCGGCATACCTCAGAAAATAGCAAGCACCGGCAGCAATTCTTAGCCGTTGTCATTGCTTATATTGCCTATTTCCATTTTCCGGCTGCTACGAGTCAATCCCATTCTAATCCTCTAGTCACGCATGGAAGCTATAATTTACGGGATATCTGTTTCATGGACGTAAGAAAGATGTCTTGGGCACAAACAACGTTGGTTGCATATGACTGCGGGTATGAAGCGCTGTGTATATTTGATAAAAAAACACTCATTTCGGATAGTTTTAGCAGTTCTTATTATCTTATCTTTTCAAAATGCACTCCTGCAGCGCAGCACAAAGCAGTTGTATTCATATAAAGTAGCGACCCATATTTGTCTAAACATTGCATCTCGCCAGTTCTTGCCTGTCAATTCATTATGAAGTCCGCACTTTTTTGCAGATTTAACCCACGAGCCGCTGGGGGGTGGGGCATAAAGTTGCCCCCCTTTACGTTTTGTGAAATATCTCCGAAACCTGATGAGCTACGAACGTGAAACTTGGCAAAGCTTCAAATGAATACCTATACAAGATTTGAGGAAAGTTTGATGGTTGTAGCGCTTAATATGGCGTCACAGTGACGTCATAAATTTTTGTCGTTTCCGATATGGATCGTTTCTGGTGTCGCTGAGCATGAAACTGAACTGTAAATGAACTAGACAGCACCTGCTGTCATCCTAAAACATCGAAGTACACTTCATCTAGTTCCTGACCAATAATCGGCCCTTTATATTCGGTCCCATGTATCTGATATATCGTGAGGAAGCTGAGAGTCGCAAATCTATGATTTGACTTATGACGTCACTGTGACGTCATGTCAAATGAGATCAACACTCAGCTTAAACACGAACTTCGGAATCTTTTGGACCGAACTCGTCCCCCGCACTCTTTGACAGCGTATCTTTGATCCTCGAAAACAATCACAATTTGAGGAGGAATTCCACATTTATATACATCAAACGATAGCTCCGGGTCTCCAGAACACACATAACCACATAAAAATGGCGAACTCTTGCTTGGTTATGATGTATTTGTACCACAAAGATTTAAAGACTAAAATATAATTTCACATAATTGATGTCACATACAAATAGACTTTTAAAAAAAGTACCGCAAAGTACCGCTTCGAAAATCTCGCTACATGTCAATGAGTCATTGCACTACAAGATCCAACAGTCATTTCTTGCGACTTTTTGCGAATTTGGATGTAGCAGGCTGTTAGGTCACCAGTTGACAGACCGTTAACCCGCGCACCGACGGGGGTCTGCGCCAACTTCGCACCGACGGGGGGGGGGCGGATGACCGCCCCCCCTGAGATCTCGAGAACGAAGCAAGATAGCGACAAGCGGTAGGTAAACGGCATCGGATACGCACGGTCAAGATCTACAATTTTTACTAAGGTCATTTTCAGGTCAGGTCAAAGATGACGTCACAGGGGTCTAAAAAGTCAAAATGGCGGCGCTAGTTTTGGAGAGAATTTTTCTCGAATAACTTTCGAATTAGTCAAGATAGGAACAAACTAAGGGCATCATCGTGATCCTCTCGTCAATCCGCATCGAATGATATATATGTTGACCTCGAAAGGTCAAGGTCAAAGGTTGACCTCAGGTCACGTGAGCTCGAGGTCATCATGTATATCATTCGATGCGTCTTGACGAGCTGAACACAATGAGACCATCCAAGCGTCTGTATCTTGTTCCTGTACGGAGTTATTGGCCAAAAATCTTTGGTGACCTTTGATGACGTCACATGACCTCACAGCTTCCCAACAGCAAATCAGACCTCAAGGTAGTGAAGGTTGATCGTATATGAAGTCATGTATGGTATATGGGGCCTTTCCGACCCGTTTTAGTGGTAAATACAGGGAGTTGATTTTTCCCCCATTGACTTATAATGGGGAGGTCGCGAAATTGACCTGACCTTTGGTCACCGATATCAGAATTCCGAGATATACAAATTGTAGCTACTAATGACCTAATAACATCCTGCGACTTTCAAAGGCCTCCGACATCTACTGTAGCTCTGGCACGGTGACAAAGTTGCAAAAAAGTGACTTGAGGTTGGGTCATTCAAAGTGACCTGGTGACCTGACCTTGAAAGGTAGGAGGTTCAAACTTGCACACCATGTGTAAAATTGATGGGGGAATAGTCGTACCAAATTTCGCGGCGCTGCGCGCCGCGGTTTTCTCGGCTCAGCTGGAAGCCAGACATCAGGAACCCTGAGCCGACTGACCAAGGTCAAGGGCAAATGGTTTCATGTGAATGTTGTGATTTGCGGTTTAAATTCCTGAAAAATAAAAGTCGCGGGCAAATAAGAATAAAGGCTTTCTTATAGTACTGTAGTTGTTTCCGCTACACTTCTCTTTTCAATCATTCCCAACCAGCAATAAGAGCAGAAGTCAAACACATTCATATATTTCTCACAGTGGTCATGGTTCGGCCATCTCGTGGCTCGTGTACATCGTGATTTTATGTATTCAGCCTGGTCAGCCAGCTGCCACACGAAGCTCCAGAGGGTCGCCTTTGATACTGTCTGTCTCGCACGGGCGCGGCGGACGGTTTCGATTTGCCGTCCTCTGACCACTGATTCCTCTGCCTGAGCACTGAGTCCTTCCAGCGCGGCGGTGAGGGTCGCCAAAGTCGATATTGTTGGTATCGCGGCTACCTTACACCTGGAACTCGGCCTTTGTGAAGTCGACCCTGTTCTCACAGTCGCAGTAGACGCAGTTTCGGTAGCGCGCCATGTAGCTACAGCCTTCCTTACAGACCTTGGGCTGGGTACGGCGGCAGTTTTGGCGTACCGCTCTGCCCTCTGCAACAAACGTCCAGTGGGGTTAGATGGGTCACGGACCAGAGGCATACTCATCACATTCATCAAAAACATACTGCACATTGTGTCCTTCCATGAGCACGTTCGTATTACCTTGAAATTTAGAAAAAAAATGTCTTCGATATCAGACGTGAACAGTTCGTCAATGTTTTTGTTATTTTTAGCGACTTTGGTGAAGCTTTTCGAGAAAATACAAAAAAAAACGCGTTAGTTTAATCAAGCGTCTCTATAGGCTGTTTTGCCGGGAAGTCAGATCGGTGATGCAGGCGCGGTGGCCACTGGGGACGGCTCACGGCACTCACGGAGGGCGCCGTTGCCCGGTGTGGGCGTGCTCTTGGGCAGGGTGTCGCAGTCGATCTTGTTGCAGCGGGCCGTGTACAGGCCGCCGGAGCCCTTCTCGCTGCACGTGCAGAACTGGCACTTGCCCCGGTTCCGCTCATCCATGTAGAAGGTCGAGCCGGCCGGACAGTCTGGTCAGGGAGGGGGAAGGGGGTCAGTATAGTTTTACAGGCAGCGCTACTGAGAGCTGTCGCCTGTCAGATGTCCCTAAGTAAAATGAAAACGATGGTAATCAATTGTTCGTCAACATCTCCAAGTGATGTAAGGAAGATTGCATGTCTACTGCATGCGGGTATTCTTCACGTAAAAACAGGCGATCGCGTATAGGTAAAGAATATATTGGGTAAACTTACTGGCAATATTTCCCTTCTTGCAGATCTTGTAGCCTTCGCTCAGTCTCTCAAGCAGAGCTGCGCGGGGTGGATCGGGCTCCACATAGTCGATCGGGCAGGGCGTCTCCTTTCTGTACTCGATCTCGTCCCTGTTGATTGTCACTGGAATACGCCGCGCAGTTCTCAAACGGAGCTGGTTATGCCAAGGAAGCATCGGGGCTGCGATCGAAGTGTTGACGAACACTATAGCAGGATGGGTTGATCAGAAGTAGCGATACAACTGTTTGAAATCCTAAAGAATTAACAGGGATACCTATATGTTGTCATTATATTGTTGTTCCAAGGGTATCTAGTGGCTTACATAGGTAAAAACATGAGTGAGGTAAACTATCAACACAAGCTAAGCGTGAATAGGTAACTGTTGTTTCTTTGACAGTGGTTCACCTTAGTGTATGTAAACCCCGTTACAAGCGCGCAGATTGGAAACGGATCCAGCTCGAGCAGTTTAGATTTAACTCACCAACACGCTTTTGCGGACCAGTTGTCCGCTTCTGGGCGGCGGACAATCCGACCGCTAGCACAAGGAGGAAGACGCGCATCGTAGCAGAGTGACTGACTAGGACCAAGTGTACGGCCTGGACGGTGCACCACGCCACCCCCTATATATACCGGCCGGCGATCAACGCGCCGCGCCGGATTGGAGCGCAGTCACGTGACAGACCTGTTGATCTGCCAGCGAGGTCACGTGACCGGGCCGCTGATCTGCCGGCGAGGTCACGTGACTGGGCTGTTGATCCGCCGGCACTGTCACGTGGACGGGTCCTGCAGTACGGTGGGCAGCCGCAGCTCCAGCAAGGAGCTGTGCGGGCTTCCGATGGAGCGAGGACGGCCAGCGCCGCGACGCTCAGCGACGGATAATCAGACGACCTTACAGCGGCCACAGGGTGCCTAACTGCCCATCTCCTCCTCACTGCCTCTCTTGGTCAGGGTGGAGGCAGCCCAAAAGCACAAGCGTCTAAAAGTTATATAGAGGGAAGGAGAGGCGAAAACGGCACGCCTAGTATTTTCTATTAATATCTCCTAAGTTGTTAAGTTGTCTCGTTATCTCATTAAATCTCGTTAACCCGCGCCGGGCCGGGGGGGGGGGTGTTTGAACACCCCCCCCCCCTGCGGTTTTTCGCAGATATCTAAAAAACGGCGGCGCGGAGTTTGGCACATCTGTTCATGCATCTTTTCCGCACATGTGAAACTTTCAGACCCAGGTCGCCTAAGGTCAGGTCACCAGGTCACGCCAAGTGACCTCACCTCAGAAAAAATAAGAATGCTCGTCGTAGCTACACCGATTGTTCGATTGCCTTGACACGTTCAGCGATTGATTAGAGCAACATTATCTATAACATGTATATCTCGGAATTTTGAGATCGGTGACCTAAGGTCAGGTCAATTTTGCGGCCTGTCCGTTAGGTTAGGGGAAAGTGGGGTAAGACGGGCACCTTAACTTTGGAGCCATTTTTTCGGCCGGTTAGAAACATCATAGAAACGGGAAACCGAGTGAAAACCTTTTTTAGACATTTTACTTCCATTTGCCAGAAGATGAGACTTAGACCTGATTCTACAAATAAACTGCAGCTATTTTTGCAAAACCTTGCAAAAACCCGTCTTACCCCACCCCATGGGGTAAGACGGTCACATGGGTAGGGCAAGACGGCCAGCTTCTTTCACCGACCAGCACAGCTCGCAACAAATGCCCGAGATTAGCCGCATTGATACAGTCGCTCGTTGGTCTCAAGTGCTTCGGAAATGGCAGTATGCGAGATTCGTGCAGAAGGCGTATGCTCGTATATAGGCCATAGTTCAGAAGCCATGTAAAGTAAAACCGTTTGTCACATTCATTATTCGAGAATAAACTGTGCCGAAGGAATATTGCTAACATGTCTGTGAGTATCAGAATCAAACATATTCTTGTTAGAAATGCTTCATTTTTCCCACAGCAACAAAAATATCTTCACCATTACAGACCCATTGGATTCATAGTTGCCCGTCTTACCCCAAACTCAATGTCAGAAGTTTAGCACGATTTTTATCTGTCGACAATTTGATGCAGACAAAGCAAATCCGCGGTAAATGAACACTGGTGGCATATGAGTGTAGCACAAGTGATTGCAATGCAAGTTTTTAACCCTATCCCTCGCGGGCCCGGGGGGGCGTTTTTCGCCCCCCCCCCCGGCGAATATTTGCGATAGCTCCCGAACGCTTAGGGATAGGAAAGCGAAACTTTCAGTACCTTTTCTCCCATCAATTTGACATCTTCTGAAGAAAAAAATTTGGACCTAGCCCCCTTGATGACGTCACAAGGTCATTTTTTTCTAGACCCCTGCACGGCAAACTTCGGCGTCACAGACGCAAACTTCAAATAGCTGCTAAAAATATAGTTTTAGAGATAAAGACAAATTACGAGCACGGTTATGTAGCGTTTGACCTAGAGAAAAATGGAAAAATAGTTTTGGTGACCTGAGGTCAGAGGTCAGGTCAACGACCCCGAAATGTGGTTTTAGTTTTTCGCAAATAACTTCGACAAAAAATGGTCCTAGAGCTACGGCAGTGGTACCATCGCATTCGCCTTGTCAAGCCGCGTCGAATGATATATATTTTGTTCGGAAAAGGTCAAGTTTTATGTTGACCTCATGTGACCTCGAATGACCTCTGGTTGACCTTGACACATGAAAGGTCGTTTATGATGGATTTGTACCCGCTGATCACGAATCTGGCGTTTATTTTCCTCTAAGCCTTCATTTAGAGCTTCCGGATGGCAAAATTGTCTTATTTATTATTACTAGCTTGAATTAGTGAAATAGCCTCTAGCAGGGATACTCTTCAGTGACCCTGACCTTTAACCCTATTCCTGGCGGGCTCCGCCGGGACAAGAAACTGGCGGGGGGGCCGATTCGGCCCCCCCCCTGAGATCTCGAGAACGAAGCAAGATAGCGACAAGCGGTAAACGGCATCGGATACGCACGGCCAAGATCTACAATTTTTACTAAGGTCATTTTCAGGTCAGGTCAAAGATGACGTCACAGGGGTCGAAAAAGTCAAAATGGCGGCACTAGATATGGAGAGAGTTTTTCTCGAATAACTTTCGAATTAGTCAAGATAGGAACAAACTAAGGGCATCATCGTGATCCTCTCGTCAATCCGCATCGAATGATATATATGTTGACCTCGAAAGGTCAAGGTCAAAGGTTGACCTCAGGTCACGTGACCTCGAGGTCATCATGTATATCATTCGATGCGTCTTGACGAGCTGAACACAATGAGACCATCCACGCGTCTGTATCTTGTTCCTGTACGGAGTTATTGGCCAAAAACCTTTCGTGACCTTTGATGACGTCACATGACCTCACAGCTGCCCAACAGCAAAACAGACCTCAAGGTAGTGAAGGTTGATCGTATATGAAGTCATGTATGGTATATGGGGCCATTCCGACCCGTTTTAGTGGTAAAAACAGGGAGTTGATTTTTCCCCCATTGACTTATAATGGGGAGGTCGCGAAATTGACCTGACCTTAGGTCACCGATATCAAAATTCCGAGATATACAAATTGCACATACTGGTACCCTAACTAAACCCTGAAGAGAAGAAATTGATCGGTCAAAAACTCTAGCTCTGGCGTGATTGCAAACTTTTCTGAGGTAGCGTCACCAAACCGCCTCTGGTGACCTGACCTGAGGTCAGATCAACTCAAAATTTTCAGACATGTTGCGTAGAAGCCTTTTAGGAAAAGTCAGAAAATTTGAGCTTCCTAGCTCAACGCGTTTGGGAGATATAACCAAAAAACCTCAGGGGGGGCTCCTGAGGCCCCCCCCGCCAGGAATAGGGTTAAGCAGCCTTGTATCGTAAGAGGAACCACAAATAGGGAACTGATAAGCCTCAAAACATTTCAAAACATCTTGAAAGTTAGCACGCAAGATGTGCGAAAAAGTGCCAAGTTTGAGGTCAATTTTGAGCGTGACCTTGACCTTGACCTTTGATTTTGAGCACATTTTCGGAATCCTCATATTCTCTTCTTTCGTTTGACACCCAATTTTGCCGGTTTGATGCCGCCTGCCGTCCTCTAGAAGGCTTACTTTGAGATCACTACACATGTGCCGGTTTTTGCCTTTGACCTTGACCTCTGACCTTGAAAATTGACCTGAGGTCAAAAATTTTAGGTGCTTTAGAATCGTCTCGTAAGGACCTTTCGTTTGGTGTCGCTTTTGTTTCCGTAGCTCCCTTATTTACGGAGTTAGACAGGGGGGGGGGGGCGGAAAACGCCCCCCCGGGCTGCGGCGGTTGGGATTACCCCCCGGGCCCGGCCGGGCTATAGTACTGCACACAAAAGCTTGCACAATACATTATGGATGTTTTCAATGGAATGAGTGTTTTAAATAAATCAAAATAAAATATTATCGACTGAACACAAACAGACAAATTCATTAGACTTCAATGGTGGTGTGTAGTGGGAAAGGCAATTCTGGTCCTAATTTTTCTCGCTCGTAGAGCTATTGGTTTGGTCTGCAGAAGGGGTGCCCGTCTTACCTAACCCTGACCGTCTTACCCCACTTTCCCTCAGTCAATCGGCGAAAATTGAAAAGCGTCTGTTTTGCACGAACGCTATTCTAGACACTCTCAAGCATCGAGATGTAGGTAAGATTGACACACTGAACCGGAAAATGGCAACTGTGACCTCTCGTTATGTCCCCGAGGTCATCTCAGGTCACGAACAGAATCTAACAGTTTTTCGCTAATAAATTTCTGATAGAGGCGTGCTAGAGCGCTGAAAACGCCTTAGATGTGTTCGGCTCGACGTTGCAGATCGACTGATTTGCAACATGACCTTTTCCGCTCAGGTCATGACCTTGACCTGAGGTCAAATTTTGAAGTTGACCTTTCAAGGTCAAATTATAGTTCAATCGACGCGTCTCGACGAGAGGAACGCGATGCTGGCAAAAGTAATGTCATGGCTCTTTTGAGTAAAAAGTTATTGCCGAAAAAAACGCTTTTCGTAAAAACGGCTATTTTTGGAGTTTTTGCCCTCTGGTAAACCGTTGATCTGAAGAAAGGTCTGTAAAAGGGCTATCGAATGCGCTTTTCTGCGGCGCTGTAACTCTATCGGTTCCCGAGATAGCCGTTGGCAGTTTCCAAAATGTTGAAATAGTCAACATTTTACCTTTGGTGACCTCTGGTGACCTGACCTTTGACCTGACCCAAAAAATGACCGAAGTGTTTTCGTCCTTATTTTGGACGTTCTTTCGATTGCCGCTTACCGCGTGTCGCTACGTGGCCTAGGAGCCGAGTTAGAAGGGGAGGGGGGTGTTCAGACAGCCCCCCCCCGGCCCGGCGCGAAATCTCGAGCACCGGCCCGGCGCGGGTACCATGGTAATAACCAGGGACGTAGCCTAGGGGGGGGGCACGGGGGCCATGCCCCCCCCCCCTCTGAAGGCGAAAAATAAAACAAAATTGAATAAATAATGAAAATAAAACAGCTGCAACCCGCAAAAGTGGGCCAAAATCGAGGAGTTTTCCGTTTTTGGAGGGGTACGACCCTTGGCCGCGACTTGTGGCCCCTCCCTGAGCAAAATCCTAGCTACGTGCCTGGCGATAACTTTTGATAAAGACATGAT